TTTTAGGATCTTTTGATTGCAAATGAGCACATCGGACGTTGCCATTGTACATCAGCGACATGGTTTTACCACAGTGATATCTTAGGATAGAAGTAATCAAAAGATCTGAAATTTTTACAATAAACGATTCTCATGAAGACCTATGTCTATACAAAGTTTTAAGTCGAAACTCGAAACCCAGTTTTTGTGGCGCCGCTTGAGAAAAGTCACGACATTGTGCTAACAGATATATTATCTCGGTAATAATAGCTAGATTTTCAGGATATTGATAGCTCATCTGGATTTACATAGTGCACAAAGTCTTGATTCAAAAGCGATTTTTCAGTAGGAGAACTTCTTTCGTTAGCCTTGGGCGATTGTTTTTTATTTTTCGGTTGATATTACTAAGCAATCAATCTACGTTCTAAGCACCCTTTATTTCACAATTTATTCAGTTGAAAAGTAATCTTTAATTTTTAGGTGAATATTATAGTTATGATTCGAGTTCATCAATTCATTGTAATAGTATTATGTCTGATCAATTAGCTGGTTTTTGGTATTTACGTTTATGTGGTCATAAGTATGAAGTAAATATATACATATAAAGAAAGAAATAATAGATTATTTATTTAAAATTGTTCTTTTAAAAGGATTTTGAAAAAGATCGAGTAGATAGTACACTTAATAAAATATTTAAAACAAATGTAATGCAATTTGGTAATGGTAAACTAGGTGCTGTTAATGGAATGACTAAAGCAGGACAATTAGAAATTGTTAGTATGCAATCTGAAGAAGTATGGACCGGTGTTACGTATGGTTTGTCATCGACAATGATTATGGAAGTAAAATTTTGTTTATTTAGTTCTGCCCTTTTTTTTTTATATTTGATTTGTTTCTATTAGGATTTTAAACACGAAGCATTTTTAACATCTGAAGGTATTTATAATACATGTTATAATATAGCTGGCTTAGCTTTTCAAACACCTGAAGCCTTAACGCGTGAAGCTCGTTTTCGATCTGTAAGTAATTTATATTGATTATCAAAAAAAAAATAACCATCGATTTATTGCTGAATTTTAGTGTGGATATATGCGTCCATTGAGTATTTGGGCCATACAAAAAGCAATTGAATTATCTCGACTGGAAGCGAACAGTAATAAAAATCAAATATAATCGATTTTTAATTATAATTCAATTTTCAACTGCCGTGATAATCTATTTGTAATGAATCAAATTTTTTTTAATCTTTTTCGTTTTTAGAAATATTGATGAGTATCCTGATCAATCGTTTTTTTTGTTTGTATTTTTCATCATTCCGACGCACAATAATGATTAAATTTGTATATTCGAGCGTATTAATTTTTTATTTATATATACCCCTGGACAGCAAATGTTGGACTTTGTATTTCGAATATATTTGCACTAAAGAGGTACATTTTAAAAATACAAATTACATATTCTGAAAGCCCGCGGAGTTCTCTATCATGTTGTATAATTATGTTTTTGTTGAGATCTATTCGTTACCGAAATAAATTGCATACAACGAAGACACCCTTATATCGCGATTCCCAAAAATTTTATTTTTTTTTCTCCAATCAAAATTAGTTCTTTGAATTTTTCATCCATATAGGATTACCTACTCAAAAAAAGCAGTTATAGATTCTGATAGAGCTTAAAAATCTCTATCACCCAATATATTTGCTTATTTTCTTGCGTTCACATATCGAAGAATAATTTAAGTACAATGAAAAAATTCTGAATCGACAAATACAGAATATTTGCGTTTTTCGTTGTTTTTGCAGCTCTCTTTTTGAATTTATTACTACTACCAGAAACTCATTTTTTTGATTGAGCAGTTATATATTCTGGTAGAGCTTGAAATGCTCTATCGCCCTGCACATTTCTTAACTATCGTGCGTTGGTGTGCTGGAGAATAATTTGAATATTACATCGATATACTCCTTGACAACCTCTAAAAGTAAGTAGCTTTTTTTATTCACTCTCTCGTTTATTGTTTCAAAAGTGCAGGATGATAGAGAATTTCAAACTCTACCAGAATATATAATTGATTATTCAAAAACATTTTCGCACAATAATAATAATAAATGCAAAAAGAGAACACCAACAGCAACGAAAAATACCGATTTTAGATACTTGTCAATTGATGGTGTGTTCACTGTACTAAAGTTTTTCTTAAAACAAATGAACATAATAAAATAAGTAAATATACAGAGCGATCGAAAATTTCAAGCTCTATCTGAATCTGTGAGCACCTTTTTTAAAATTTGTTTTTAAAGTAACTATATTATCAAGAAAAGAGAAAAACAGCGATTTTCTGTATTTGTCGATTCAGAATTTTTTCATTGTACTTAAATTATTTTTCGATAGGTG